ATGTCGTTGGAATTTGCAGCTTTTTTTTACAAGTGGACAAAAAATAATTCCATCGATAAAACATTCAAATGGATATTTAAATATTTCGAGAACAAAAAGCTATACCAAAACTGAGGAGTTTTTAACTTTGTTTTCACACAATATTTACCATCAACCAGAAACTGCGGTATTTTCAGTGGTAATGGTCAAACAAACACTTTGCGCTATAAAATAATTCGTTTGTACTGAAGGTAGTTCAACCCTACTTACACCTTCATAGCGAGTAAAAACAAAATCAAAAAGAATGCCTGTGAAGGAAATTCTCATTGAGAAAATTGCCAGTACGGAATATTGCCATTGACAAATTAAAAGATTGAGCCCAGAAAATCTAATCTAAATGAAGATAATTTAAGTAATAAAAAATCATTTCGCTTTTAATAACTACAAATTTTGACCTAAACTATCATTTGACTTGCTTCTTTTTTTATTATTTTAAGTCAGACCTATATATTAATGAGACAAGGGGAAAGTAAGAATAGTTTTCCTCAATTCTTTTTATTCATATATAAATATATATATATATATATATATATATATATATATATATATATATATATTATAAATTAATTGATTTAAAATATGTTTTCTCCGCTACACAGTTCTAACCATGTTTCAAAAATGGAAGTGTGTGTGTGTGTGTGTGTGTATATATATATATATATATATATATATATATATATATATATATATATATATATATATATATATATATATATATATAAACTCTAGCAAAATTCAGAGATGGAAAATTGCCAGGCAAATAATAATTGCCAGTTGGGGAAATTCCCATTGAGAAAATATGCAGAATATTGCCATTGACAAATTAAAAAAAAGATTGAGCTTATATTTGTAATTTTTTGTATATATACACGGTGTCCATAAAGTTCGTTTGCACTTTGAAAAAATTATAACTTTATTTGTATTTGCGATAAAAATAATCTGTAAACAATGTTATAAAGTTTAATGTACCTAGTTTTAAGTATAGCTAAAATAACTAATGTGATATCAGGCATTACTGTAAATTTAGTTGGCAAATGTTTTCCGTGAACTGAAAAATCGTATTACCCTTTGTATTGCTAATGATGGAGGACATGTGGAAACTTAAAGAAAATTTCAATAAAAGCTGTAAAAAATATAGATTTACTTCTTTCTAATCCTTTTTACAAATTATTTCTATCGCAAATACAAATAAAGGTATAATTTTTTAAAGTGCACACGAACTTTATGGACACCCTGTATTTTAATATTTTGATATATTTTTAATTTTTGGATATATTTTAAATTTTTTGCATATATTTTTTTATTTTTGGATATATTTTTTATCTTTGTATGAATTTTTAATTTATTTTTTCTTATTTTCATCCCTTTTTTCTGTTTTGTTTTTCAAAATATTTTTCGTTTAATTTTAAGGCTTTCAGTTAATACATCCTCATTCGTTTTTTGTTTTAAAACGCTATCACGTAAATAGATTGAAAATCCTGGTAATTTTCCCCACTGGCAATTTTCTGCCTGAAAGTATCCCGGCTTGCAATTTTCCAACTGGGAATTTTCCTTGCACGTTTTTCACGACGTGTCACTCTCGAGGATGACTTAAAGCAAATCAAACACCTCCCGACATCACTCAACTACTACATCCTGGCCCTCAGCCAAATAGGAAATAGTAGGAGGTGATATCAACTCATTCAAACATATATCTTCCAACACCGTAGCAACAAAATATTGTAGCCAGCCTTGTTGGCACACAATAAGAAAAAAAAAATACCTGCCTATATTTCTGAGATTAGGTATTATGTACACTATTTACATTACGTTTCAGCCGTTGTAAGCTCCAGCCTTCTTCAGGTGGTCGAAATGTCGAACTGAACCCTTTATTTCGCTCACTGGGGTAGACTGCTCTAGTTTCACGCGCCATGTTTAATAGATGTCAGTTATCTCCTGTTCGTTTCTATCGTTTTAACCGGATGAACTCACACTCTTGGGTCCCGTCACTGATCTAACTAACGACTTTATCCACTGTGCTATGTGTCCTGTCCAAAAGAGTGTGAGTTCAATACCTGGTTAAGGCGATGGAGAACTTGGAGAGGGGAATTAGCAGGAGATAACTGATAACTGACATCCATTAGACATGGCACGTGGAATTAGAACAGTCTACCCCAGGGAGCGAAATAAAGGGTTCAGTTCGACATTCCAACCACCTGAAGAAGGCCGGAGCGTACAACGACCGAAATGTTATGATAAATATGGCAACAATGATGAGGATCATAGTCCGAGCAATGTAAAGAAAAAAAGTATCTAACGTTTCCTCGTATAAGCAATAAAAAGCCATCACTTATTTTTAATCAATTTACCTCAAGAAATGTAATAAAGCCACTAAGAAGCAAGAGGTTGTAGAGAGCGAAAGAAACAGAGAATAAAGTAACAGATATTAAAGAGACAGAAAACAAGAAACAAGTGTGAAAGAAGAAACTCTAAGTATAGAACTTGCGGTTGCAATTAGGAATTTTAACAATAAAATTATGAGACCTATGCGCCAATCTAGTACTGCGGTTAAATACATAAAATCTCGATAGGCACGAGGGAAGATCATCAGAATAATTAACATGAAAATTTTATAGATAAAATACAGAGACGATTAGATAGAGCGGAGAGAAAGTGACTGAAACCTAGATGCCAGGTGAGAGTTAATAATATTGCCGATTTTTTTTTAGATTTTGTCAAGAATTTCCAGACGCATAGCATAAAAACGAGACCAAACGTGACAGTAATATTCGATGCACGGACGAATAGTAGACTGATAAATGTTTAAGCTAGATTCTGGCGAGAAAAAAGTATCTAGCACAAGATCTTAATAATAGAGCGCAGTTTCGTTTTTTGAGGCGTTAAAATGAACAAGGTACTTCGTGCCACAGATCACATCAAATTATCGGTGTTTATGTAGATCAACAGACAATTTGGTTTTATCGAAACTATCAGACTCACTGTTAAGACAAGAATATATAGATGCGTCATCCGCATACATAACATTTTAACAGATAGACTCAAAATGCATATGAGTTGAGTTAAACTGAGATATACGGAAGAGGCATGGCACGTGGAACTAGAACAATCTACCCCGGTGGACGAAATAAGCTAGATTCTGGCGAGAAAAAAGTATCTAGCACGAGATCTTAAACCAATATTCTCAGCGGCAGACTTAGCAGTTGATTCAATATAATCATTCATTTTTTTTTGTATATATATATATTTTTATTTTTGGATATATTTTAATTTTTGGATATATTTTTTTATTTTTGTATGAATTTAAATTTTTTTTTTCTTATTTTCATCACGTTTTTCTGTTTTTTTGTTTTTTTTTCAAATTATTTTTCGTATAATTTTAAGTCTTTCCGTTAATAAAACCTCATTCCTTTATTTCTTCAATATTATGTCAATGGAAAACGTGTGAGAAAGAAGGCATAGAGAGTTGCTCTAATGAAGGCCAGAAGCAGCCATGTTGATGGAAAGGAAAAAAAGATGAATAATAGAGAGAAGTTTCGTTTTTGAGGCCTTAAAATGAACAAGGTACTTCTTGCCACACATCACAGCAAATTATAGGTGTTTATGTAGATCAACTGACAATTTGGTTTTATCGAAACTATCAGACAAGAATATATAGATGCGTCATCCGCATAGGTACCTTTTTAACAAATAGATACAAAATGCATATACAGGTATGAGTTGAGTTAAACTGAGATATTCGGAAGAGGCATGGCATGTGGAACTAGAACAATCTACCCCGATGGACGAAATAAAGCGTTTGGTTCGAAATTCCAATCATCCAGAAATCAAATAGAGTTGATATCCTGACAGGGTAATCCATCTTACAGAAGAAACCCCCTGATTCCAGGTCTTCGCTGCCGTGCGTCCATACACAATCATGAGGAATGTTTCGAGAGTAAACCCTGAGGAAAATCCGCTCTGTCGGCTGGGGGCTTCAGAATACGCCATCTGCATCTCCGCGGAGGGGTAAGATCCCCCCACACCAAATGAAGCGTCCTCGATAAGACGATAAACTACATCCGGCACAAAGGCCTCTGATGAGGAGGTTTTGAGGAGCGTTGAACCACCTATTAATTGCTGGTGTTTCCAGGTCTACCGTGATCCGGGGCGGTAGGACCTGTTAAGGTCCCAGTTATGGGAAAAAAAGTTAACCCCCAAACTGGGGTCAAAACACTATGAAAGTGTAAAAATAGATTTTAATGCCATCAATACATTTTTTATTACCAACAATTAAGTTTTGAAGAAAAAGTTATTACCAGCAACATATTTTTGGAAAGTAGTACCAGAAGAAAAAATATTACCAGCAATAAATTTTTGAAAAAAATATTGGCAGCAATAGAAAACTTGTCGGTATTAAATAACCCAATGAGATTGATATGCCGTAAAACAAAATAAACCAAACTAAACCAATATCTATCTATCTATCTATCTATCTATCTATCTATCTATCTATCTATCTATCTATCTATCTATCTCAACATCTCTATCTTTCTCTCTTCTGATTTCTCTCTCTCTCTTCCTCTACATCTATCACTCTCTCACCCTCTATATCTCTACTTCTATTTCTATTTCTCTATCTCTCTCCCCCTCTCTCTCTCCATCTATCTATCTATCTATCTATCTATCTATCTATCTATCTATCTCTATCTATCTATCTATCTCAACATCTCTATCTATACCAATCTCTCACTCTTCCTCTACGTCTATCAATCTCTCACCTTCTATATCTCTACTTCTATTTCTCTATCTCTCCCTCTCTCTATATCTATCTATTTGAAAAAATATTTTAAGAGCAATAAAAATCTTGTCGGCTTTAAATAACTCATTGAGGTTGATATGCCGTAAAACAAAATAAACCAAACCAATATCTATCTATCTATCTATCTATCTATCTATCTATCTATCTATCTATCTATCTCAAGATCTCTATCTCTCTCCCGATCTCCCCCTCTTCCTCCACTTCTATCACTCTCTATATCTCTACTTCTATTTCTCTCCCTCTCTCCCTCTCTTCCCCCTCTCCCTATCTCTCTCGCTATCTATCTATCCATGGTCGTGAAAGCAGTCCGACCTTAAAGCCAGTCTCATTTTGATAACTCCTCTGATATGCAGCACTATCAGCCCCTGTCCTCCTCTTCGCTAACCGCGATGCTGTGGAGAGTAGAGATATGCTGTGCCGGTAACTGTCCTATTTAAAAAAAAAAAAGAACAACCCTGTCCATGTGCCCTCACCCAGCAGAAGACATCCCAGCGTTGTCTCAACAGCGTGCGATTAACTAAACAGATGCTAATCTAACGCACTTCAACGGAATTAAGAAATTAAATCGATCCTAGCACAGAACAGATGAAGGCGCCAAGGATAATATATTCTGAAGAGTTCAATTTCTTCAAAAGTTTATTTCTTTTCATCGGCATGATTGCCAGTAAAAGAAAAGTTTTCTTTCTCATAGATTGTTGATGGATTTAAAAAGTAACGACACTGATTAATGCCGAAAAAATTCGAATTTAATACATTTTAACCTTTATCTATTTATATCTCTGAGATGAGGTACTATATTTACTTGCATTATTTACATTATTCGGGCTGTTATCCTCATCTTCATTGCCATATTCACAACGTTTTTGTCGTTGTACACTCTGACTTTCTTCAGATGATTAGAATTTCGAACAGAAACCTTTATTTCATCCACCGGAGTAGATTGTGAATGTGGCAATGAAGATGAGGATAACAGTGTGAATAATATTTATTACAACGTTTCGGCCGTTGTACGCTCCAGCGTCAAGGAAATATGGCATAGTGGATAAAGGTGTTAGTTAGATCCAGTAACAGGACCCAAAGAGTGTGAGTTCAGTACCCGGCTAAGGCAATGGAGAACTTTCAGAGGGGAATTAAAAGGAGATAACTGATAAGTGGCATAGATTAAACATGGCACGTGGAACTAGAACAGTCAACCCCAGTGAGCGAAATAAAGGGGTCAGTTCGACATTCCAACCACCTGAAGAAGCCCGGAGCGTATAACGGCCGAAACATTGTAATATATATGGCAACAAAGATGAGGACAATAGTACGAATAATGTAAATAGTCTACATAATACCTCATGTCAGAAATATAGACAGATACTGAAAGGCTGAAACGCTGTAATAAATATGGCGACACAAGATGAGGACAATAGTCCAAATAATGTAAATAGTCTACATAATACCTCATCTCAGAAATATAGACAGATACTGAAAGGCGCAAATGTTGTAATAAATATGGCGACAAAGATGAGGACAATAGTCCGAATAATGTAAATAGTCTACATAATACCTCATCTCAGAAATATAGACAGATACTGAAAGGCCGAAATGTAATAAACATGGCGACAAAGATGGGGACAATAGTCCGAATAATGTAAATAATGGCAAATGCCCTACTGTCATTTTACAAACTAAAACTAACGATTGCTGAAATTATTTTTGAACTCAGGGTGAAAATGTTGTTCCAACGTAGAGTTCAAATCTTTTTTACTTTAATATTTTTCTAGACATTTGGTTTTTATCTGCGAAAGAACTGCAAACGACTTCTTGGCGGTGTTGCCAAAGGCAATATGCAAGAAAAGAAGCGTAATCGTCTCATTTTTCTTGTTTTTACCTGTAAGATGTCTCGTTTCCTCTATGAAGGATTTTCAGCCCCCGAGCGAAACATATGTTGCATTGAACACAGTACTACGGTATGCAACATATACCGCTCTAGGCTTACTTGACAACACACAAACATATGTAATAATTCCAAGAACTCAACAATGAACTCTTCTCAAATATATATCTCTCCCAATTTCATAGGAATTTTGCACAGATCTACGTAAAAATACAAACATCTACATACATCCCTTTCGTATTATTTCTCTTTCATTTACTGTATCACCAAATCCCGTGTAAACACCGGTTCCTGTACGATCACCGAAGTTAAGCAATGTTGATCCTGTGGATGGGTAACTGTTTGGGAACACCAGGTGCTCGGATGTATGGATCGTGTAAATTATTAATGGCTCGTAATTGTTAATCGGAGAGTCGAGTTCCAATTCCAGTTGGATTCATTATATTTACTTATGGGCACATACCTTTGAGAAAATCCATCGATCTCTTCTCTCTCCCCCCTTCTATGAACTAATAAGTAAAACTTGTATCACTAAACAATTGTTATCTTAAAGACAAAATTCTTGCAATATTTTCTGGCTTCAAATATCCTTCAAAGAGTTGACAGGACTTAAAAAAGATTGAAGCATTACGATCACTTAATGGACAATTGTAGCTGAATGCCTCATATGAAAGGCTGGAACAAATAAGACTGCAGTCTAAGAAACGTAGGCGATAAGAAACTGATTATTTAAACAGCTCATTTTGCTTGCGAACTAATTTTTGTCTAAATGCAGATGGATATTTTATTATCTCCCCCACCCCCAATTCTTAGAATCTAAAAATATTTTTTAGCTTTAAATAAAACGCAAAGGGTAGATAACCCGTAAAAAACAAATCAATCAAACAAACAATTTACTGTATTACTAATAAATATTACAGATATACCAAAAACAAGCTCTAAGAATCATGCAAACCTATCAAAGGAGGGCATTATTTATTTATTTATTTGAGATATGAGCACGAAATTAAGAGTTACTGTGATGTTCAATGGAAAATATGAAATATCTAAATATGGCGACACATGGAAAAAATCTGTAAACAGAAAATATCCAATCGTTATCTTGGGAAATTTTATGTCATCTTCCTATTTGAACAGGTTTCATTGCGTAAAATTTTTATTTTAATCATACAGCAGCACACTTTCTTTATAGTAATTCCTTTAAAATAAGGATAAGAACAATCCAGCAGTTAAAATACTTTCTTCCCGATTCACAGATTTAAAGGATAACAATAATTTTCTAGTGGGCATTTAACATTGCCAATCATAAAGGTAAATAAATTTAATGTTACCTGATCACAGAAAGAGTTGCTGTATATTTTATAAATCAAAAGTACAAACTTCTAATATGATTCGAACTCCCAAACTTTAACATTACACAATCATGAAGAATAGGTTCATCGTCACTTTGGTTAGCAAATTTGTCTCGTTAGATCAATCAAGACTGAGTAGACATTTCAATTCTGACAGGGGTTCCCCAGAGTAAATCTCTATTAAGAGAACTTCCATGTTCTGTAATGGTTAACAAGTTTATCCAGCTTGATTAGTTACGACTAAATAGCGATTTCGATCTTCACAGGGTGCCCCACACTAGGATTTGCGTCACATCTAAGCTACGCTAAGATAATCCTGAGTAATTCGACGTTAACCAAGCTTGTCTCACTAGATTAATTTTTTTAAGCATTCCACGCCAGACTAGGCGAGAAGCCACTAGCATGCAAGGATTTACAGAGAGTTGGAGCGAGAGCAAAGAGGAGTGATAGAGGAAAGAATGAAGAGAAGGATAGGGAAAAGATCAAGGCATCTGGAGACGTTGATTGACATTACATTTGAATTGTTGGAGATTATAGTTATCAGAAAAACAGGAAGAGGGGAGGGAGTTCCACAGGCGAGAGGTGGGAGATATGAAGCTATTAGAGTATAAAAGACGGCTGCATTTAACAGTTCGACAGGGAAAAGGGTGAGAGCGTAATGCCAGCCTAGCTGAACGCTTAAATTCATGAAGTCTTGGAACCAGCGAAAGCAGCTCATCGGAGCAGTTACCGTGAAAGTATTTGTAAAAAAGACAGAGGGAGGCGATGGCATGTCTGTGAGAGAGCGACTGCAGACGAGATGCCAGATCAGGGCCAATTACATTGCATATTCTCCTCTGGATTTTATCATGGACCTTGAGACAAACAGAAGTGGCTCCAGTAGTAATTTCGAGTCACACTGGGTTCTTCATATATTCGGCCTCAATTTAGTTACGCTCAGCAAATCGCTATTTAATGCATTTCGGCCTTGTTTCGCATCTAAACTACTCTTAGCAAAGTATATATCCTTAAATATTTCTCTCTCTAAGAATACAACATTATGTTCTAAACATTATGTTGTTTTATTTAAGATATTGCATGTAAGTCACGTGCTATGAGTGCTACCTGCAAATAAAATCTAAATGCTAGGATGATAATAAAATGAATTATCTTAAGATGTATGACATGTCATCGATTATCATGGCTCATACATTCAGAGGCGAACAGACATTTAATCGTATTAATATTTTCCTACCTTTGTTTTTACGTTTTTATTGTCCACTATGCTGAACCATATGATGTTTCTCTTCCTGCTGGCTTTTTCGCGCTGTGTGGTGTGTATGAGAATGTTGTCCGATATTCACTATCTTCTAAGGCTGTTTTATAGTCGTTCTTAGCTTAGATGGTATTACTAGAGAATTGACGGAAACGTAAGAAAAAAATATTCATTATATTCGTACTCAAACACTTCCCATCATCAAGCACTCTACACGAAGATATTAAAAAACACACCCAGTAATACTCAGCTATGCATGCATGTGTCTGCATACGTCGATGTTTGCGTTAGTACGATGACATAAGCGACGAAATTTCCCCCCACCACTTCTACAATAACACCAATACACGCAATCTACATAAACCCAAAGTTTTTAAAAAATTAATCAGTTTGTCTGACGATCGCTAAAGCGTGAAACCCAGGGTCACAAACTCACATCTTTTCAACGAAATATATTAGCTCTATCTCTGATATTGAGCGCTTTCTAATAAGTACCGCGCATATAATATATAAATAATTATACATATATATATTTATTTATATTTATATACACTTTTCACACACACACACATATATATATATATATATATATATATATATATATATATATATATATATATATATATACAATAATATATATAATTTTATAGATATAAATAAGTATACTCGTTCAGAAAAACCTTAAGTGTTTGGGCTTGTAAATGAGCAAACCAATACCCAAGGAAAAATAAGGAATAAAAAAAAATGAAAGAAATAAGAACATGTAATTCAGGCGAAAACAATGGATCAGAATCCAAGCTCTAAGTCCAGAGAAAAAACCCTCCTACCTGAGTAAAGTAAAAAATAACTAAGCAAAGTGCTCAATGCACTAAGTAGAGCAAATCTAATTACGAACCTGAAGATCCAGGCAAACCTACCTAGGATCGTCAGGGACGCCGGCCCTACATAGATTTCACCTATGTGGATCATCAGGGTACGCCGGCCCTACATAGATTTCACCTACGTGGATCATCAGGGTACGCCGTCCCTACATAGATTTCACATACGTGGATCATCACGGTACACCGGCCCTACATAGATTTCACATACGTGGATCATCAGGGTACGCCGGCCCTACATAGATTTCACATACGTGGATCATCAGGGTACGCCGGCCAAAGAGGTAACATTAGAACAGAATATAAATAGCCTACAACATAAAATAAAAAAAATAAAAACATAATCATGTGACAAAAAAAAACAGTAACACAACAACGGGAGGGGTTAATACATATTCATTCAATAACAAAAAAAAAAAAAAAAAAAAATATATATATATATATATATATATATATATATATATATATATATATATATATAATACTAGCAAAAAGAACTAGACGAGATACCTCTAGACATGGCAGTGAAACGAAAACAGTCTACTCCATAGATTAAATAAAAGGTGCAGTTAGGATATTCCTATAGGTTACCCGGATCGATATACACCTGATGAAGGCTGGAAGGCAGAACGGCCGAAATCTTGTGAAAGAGAAAATCAAAATGCGAACAATAGTCCGAATGTAAATAGCGAAAACAATGATGACATCTCATCCCTGAAATTCAGCACTTTCACTGAATCTGAAGACAAGAAAGACTTTGACAAATTCCAGAAATGGTAAAACAAAGAACAAAACAAGAATACTTAAAGCGATTGGCGCTATTCTCATTTTAGATGTTACCTAACATAGAAGGAAAACATACTAAATAACTACAGTAGATTTTTACATTTCTTCTATACAACCCTGAAATGAAAAAACTAATCGATGTTACAAAAGATGACTTTACTCACAAGTACTTCATATCATGGTGTGATAGGTTGTGTCTATTCACATGTCCTGTCACACATATTTTTGTTAGCGATGTCTACCAGAAGATTATACACTCTGCCAAGAAAGTTTCTCTGATTGTCTATTGAGTGTCACGTGACTGACCAATCCGAGGAAGACGAAGAAAAGTTAACACAAAATATGCATAATTGTGTTTTTAAAGAATACTATTTTCCCTATTGAATATATTTTTTAAATTTAAATTACAATATGTTCTCAATTACCTGTAAAATATGTCCCCAAATAGTTTATATATATATATATTATGACATGGACAAAGTCCGACAATTATTTTAAGAAATTTTTATGCTTATACAAATTTTCATTCGGAGGACGAATATTTTCTATGAAAATTTCTCGGATATTCAGGCCGGTAAATGTTATTAATACTGTTTTTTATAAAACAGAGCATTTACTTAAATATTTGTATCTATAGAACAATGTATAAGCATAAAAATGTCTTAAAATAAATAAATATATATATATATATATATATATATATATATATATATATATATATATATATATATATATATATATAAAAGCCATTCTGATCATTTGACAATAGATATATATTAAATATCAACATTTATCTACACAACTACAAGAGCAAATTTTGACAGTCATCAGAAAATGTACAATTTAACGTATCATTTAAATGCTGATCTGAGGACTAATCTTGATTTCAGCATTTGTTCTTAATTATAAAACTGTTAAAGTTGAGTAAATAAAGAGAACATTAAGATCCGAATTCTTGATAATGGCGAAACGAATAGCCGAATGTGATCGCTCAAAAAACCTTCCGTTGGTTCTTGCATGAACTAAACTATGATTTATGTTAACTTATACGCGACAAGTAACAAGCATTTCTTCTCTGTATATATTTCGTATACTATAGACATTATATTTAGTAGGTACACGTGTTTGAGTTGAGCTACCTGTTTTTTTTTGTTTTGTTTTGTTTTGTTTTTTCTAAAAAGTGAAATTAATAAAAACCGAACTAGCTTGAGGTTTCCGACTCAAGAAAAACTATGGCTTGGACATCTCCATCTAGTTTGCTTCTTATTAATTCGACATTTTATCGCTTTTTTATTTTTATCGTAATTGTTTTTATTTGTACCAAATTTTATTAGTAATGCTTTCTCGTGAAAACGAGATATGTTCTATGATTCTTGACGTATATTTACCGGGTAGGCTTCTAAAATTCAGTGCAATTTCGCATTAAATTGCTTTCCATTTTAATCAAAATTACATTAAGCAAAAATTATGGTCAAACCAATTACGATTAAATGTATTTTTCTGTAAACTATATCCTTTATATTGATATAATCTTTTATTTGAAATTAGAAATTTAGCGGCAATGAAAAATTATGGTGAAAGTTGATCGAATACCACTCTAAAATACGCAGAAGTTTTTTTAATCATTTCACTCCAGTCAAGGCAATAAAGCCACTAAGTCACAAAGGGTTACAGCGGGTGAAGGAATAAGTAAAAGAAAACGTTATTAAGTAAAAAGAACAATAAAAAAAGAGTAATCATGAAGGCAATAGTTAACGAATGACATTGCATTAAAAGTTTTGAGGATCAAAATTAGTAGGAAAGCAAGAAGCCGGAAGAGAGTTCCACAGGCGAGAAGTGTGAGAGAAGAATTTGTTGACAAAGACGGTTGCATCTATCCAATTCAGCTGTGAATTGATGAGACCTAGTTGCCAATCTAGTACTGCGCTGAAATTTATAAAATTCACAAAAAATGAAAGGGAAAGTGATTGAAGCAGAGATACCAGGTCAAGAAGAATAATATTACAGAGGCTTATCTGGATTTTATCAAGAATCTTTAAATATATAACAGGAGCACCAGACCAGGTGTGGCAGCAATATTTGAACCATGGACGGAGTGAGAGTCTTATAAGTGTGTAAGATAGATTCAGGTGAGTAGAAATGTTTAGTACGACACACTGAAGCAACTTTCCTAGCAGTTGGTCTAAACAATGAAAGCCTTCCTATGTGACTTATCATTTCTATGATTGACAAAGCTCACCTTCTTCTTCTTGTTCTTATTCATCTTCTTCTTCGTCTTCTTCTTTTTGATCTTCTTCTTCTTCTTCTTCTTCTTCTTCTTCTTCTTCGTCTTCTTCATAATCTTCTTCTTCTTCATCATCTTCGTCTTCTTCTTCTTCGTCTTCGTCTTCTTCTTCTTTGTCTTCTTCTTCGTCGTTGTCTTCTTCATCATCATCTTCTTCTTCTTTCTTTTTGATCTTCTTATTCATATTCGTCTTCTTCGTCTTTTTCTTCTTCTTCTTCTTCTTCTTCTTCTTCTTCGTCTTCTACTTCGTCGTCGTCTTCTTCGTCTTCTGCTTCGTGTTCATCTTCTTCATCTTCTTCTTTTTCTTCTTCTTCTTTGTCGTCTTTTTCTTATTCATCATCATTTTCCTCTTCGCCTTCTTCATCTTCTTCTTCGTCTTCGTCATCTTCTTCGTCTTCTTCTTCTTTGTCTTCTTCGTCGTCTTCTTCATCATCATCTTCGTCTTTTTCTTTTTCTTTTCCTTCTTCTTCGTCTTCTACTTCGTCGTCTTCGTCTTTTTCTTCTTCATCATCTTCTTCTTCGTCTCCTGCTTCTTCTTCATCTTCTTCTTTTTCTTCTTCTTTGTCGTCTTCATCTTATTCATCATCATCTTCTTCTTCGTCTTCATCTTCTTCTTCGTCTTCTTCTTCTTCGTCTTCGTTTTCTTCTTTGTCTTCTTCTTCTTCTTCTTCTTCTTCGTCGTCTTCTTCATCATCATCTTCGTCTTCGTCTTTTTCTTTTTCTTCTCCTTCTTCTTCGTCTTCTTCTTCTTCGTCTTCTACTTCGTCGTCTCCTTCTTTGTCTTTTTCTTCATCATCTTCTTCTTCGTCTCCTGCTTCTTCTTCATCTTCTTTTTCTTCTTCTTCTTTGTCGTCTTTTTCTTATTCATCATCATCTTCTTCTTCGTCTTCTTCATCTTCGTCTTCTTCTTCTTCTTTGTGCTGTTTCACTTCAGTAATCATGGCTCTCCACAATATGCTCCCCTTTGTAGCTCTTCATAAGTGTTGCGTTTTGTTATATCACTTAAACCTTGTTAAATAGGCCATGCTTTTTTCGTCTGTCCCTCCTGTGCGTATCAAATATTCCAAGCCCTCTTTCCTCATTATATGCCCTGGAAATTTCAACTCGTTCTTCCTAATGTTAAGTACAAGTGTCCTTTTTGTTTAGATATCCTCAACACTTTATTTCTGCGGACATGTTCGACCCTCGTATCCTCAGCATCCTCCTGTGGAACGACATTTCTGTTGCTTCAGGTCTTTTCTTCATCTTTGAGGAAATTGTTCAGTATTCACTGCCATACAGGAGGACTGATATAGACTAGTGAAAACGGTAGAAAAAGTTTTATTCACATTATTACTTTGATACCTAAACATTTTTATACTTTTCATATATATATATATATATATATATATATAAAAGTATAAAAATATTTATATATATATATATATATATATATATATATATATATATATATATATTGATAACATAAGTGGTAATATATATATATATATATATATATATATATATATATATATATATATATATATATATATATATATATATATATATATTCCTATAGAATCCAGGTAAAATTCAATGTCCAGGACAAGAATATAATAAAAAGCCTCAAACACTAATATTCCATGGTTTAATTTATTACATTGGATATATGACTCAGGTTCGAACTCTGCCGGAAACCAGATTTTTTTAATACACTAGACGCAATTGAACGATACACGTAAATATACAATGTTTAAATACAGGGATAACTACGCAAATACGTGTATCCACTAAATATAACACCGTAATATATATATATATATATATATATATATATATATATATATATGTATATATATATATATATATATTTGTCATTCGGTAGAACAGTACTGTTTCGCTGTATGACAGCTCCTCAGCTGAACATCCGAATACTTCAAGCCCGGATCGAAAACCAACCGATCAGTCAGAGTTTCTACCACTGAGCTACCTTCATTCGACAATATATATATATTTATATATATATATTTACGTATGTATATATATTTACGTATATATATATATATATATATATGTATGTATTTATATATACGTATCCATATATGTATATATATATATATATATATATATATATATATATATATATATATATATATATATAGATATCCACTATATGTATAAATATAATATAATAAATATAATATATATGTAAAACCTAATGAGAAATTGTAAAAAAAAAATCAATAGATTTAAGTAATATTTCTAAGATCACAATTCTGTGCAAATGTACGATCTCACGAACGTCAAATTCAAATAGCCTTCAACATTTGAAAAAGTAAACACCCATTTCTGCCGTATGCTAAAATAATGAAGGCTCACATCCAGAAAAGTTTTAATAATATTTTCCCTTCTAAAATCGAGATTAAAAATTTCGAAATATATTTATTATCCAATAAAACATCTGAGTTTAATAAATCTAACTTTTAACTTCCAGCCATCCGATTTTTTCTTATAAATAGCGTAAAGTAAATTAATTAGATTTCAGTATATGCTACATAAGCATTGTAGCTTATGTAACAGCGTTTTCCCTGTCGAGGGGTGTTTGCTTGATTTGAACCTTTTAAAACTCTTTATTCTACATTTAGCACTATCACTTGATAAGACAACAGAAGTGTCGAAACAAAATGGCTATTTTTGTAGTGATTTTATGACATATTTATTATTTTCGAATAAAATATATTTGCTCTACTCTATCTTTTAAGAATCGTATTTTTGTTTTAGAATTTATTCCGTATACACCAATCTATAACTGCATATATATATATATATATATATATATATATATATATATATATATATATATATATATATATATATATATATATATATATATATATATATATATATAGTAGTAGAGACCGGCGTTGCTCGGGGATGTAACAGTAAGAGATAGATCAAGTATCGACCATCATAAAGACTGAAAAATAAAATTGACAAAGATTATTGTTTAAGCTTGATGGACACTCATGTCTTAGTTTTTGTTTTTGTTTTTTTTACGAATTGGTCAAACCCAAACTCAAACAAAAACATTGTTTTCAATCGTTATGAGTCTATCGATTGAATAGAATTTTATTATAAACAATTATCTTATAAATGGAATTTTTAAAGCATTCTGAATATAAAAATAAAGAAAAAAGTGTGCAAGACAATAAGAAATACTACCTGCCAAAAAAAAAAGTGATGTTATGTTGAAATTGGTTGAAAAATATAGGAAATCCAATCCAATATATAAACGAACATACACCCACAAACAACCTGGGTTTTATAATAAGTATAACTCGATATGAATTGACCCCTTTCATTCTGGCGAGAGAATCGTGTTTTATCGTGTTTTCAAATTGATTTTGTGCAAAAACAATTGTGTTTTGCCACTTTTTGGCGCTGTCAGAACCACCGCAAGGTAATTTTACGCAGTCCTGTGAAGTTTTGTTGAAATCGGTTGAAAAATGTAGGAAATCCGATCCAACATATAAACGTCCACACACACGCACGCACACACACACACAATCTGCATTTTATAATAAGTAAGATATATCCGAGAGATGTGATTCCTATCATACGGCTAATTAGTACATATTTCACCATTATGATCTCTGTGGTTGAGCAGTCTAAAAGTATGAATGGTTGTTTGCTACATAAATTGGGATGAAGTTTCGAGCCTTGCTAAAGAACATTTTTTATTAAAAGACTCGAAAGAGACAGATCGGCTGACGGAAATTATGTAGTTTAAATAAAAGATGTCTACTCAAATACTTTTATCCACTAAATGCAATGTATACATTAATAATTTATATTATTATGCGCAAAAAATACACACACACACACACACACATATATATGTATATATATGTAGACATATATATATATATATATATATATATATATATATATATACAATTCTGCAACAGGGCGTGTGATGTTTAGCATGCTTGTATCGCTAGAACCATTACAACTGAGTAGTGACTTCAATCCTCACAGGGTGCCTTATGCTTTCGCCCTCATGAAACGTCTAAGCTGTGCTTAGAAAATGGTTTCGGGGACTTCGACTTGGTGTAATGCTTAGCAAGCTTAATTCACTAGATCTATTACGAGTGGATAATGAATTCGTTCCTCACTGGGTGCTCCAGATTTTTGGCCTTATACTACGCTTAGAAAATTATTTTATAGGAACCTCGAAGTGGTGTTATGGTTAAGCAAGCTTGTCTCGCTAGAAAAATCACGATAGACTCGTGAGCTCGATCCTCATTGGGTGCCCCCTACTTTCGGCCTTGCGCCACATCTAAGCTCCGCTTGAAGAATCGCTATATGGACACTTCGAGGCGGTGTAATGCATTGCAAGTTTGTCTCGCTAGAACAATTACGACTGAGTAGTGAGTTCGATCTCACAGGGTGCCCCCTAATTTCAGCCTTGTGCTATGTCTACGCTATGCTTGGAAAATCACTATAAAATATTTCAACATTTTATCTACTAATTTGAATATTACACCCCTAAGTTGGTCACCACCGCGAAGAGAACATGCAAGAAGTCTTTCTCATTTTAAATATAGTGCGTCTTAGATCAACTGGAATAGTTGCGATCTCTCTCTTGGTGTTTTGTTTTGGTTCCACAGCCGCCTTGAGCTGTGGAAAAGCGTGGTGGATACCATCTCAGGGATGTAATATTCAAATCTTAGATAATAGTTTGAACTCTTTTAGATAATATGTGAATTCTTACATCTGGCCACCTAACGCCCCAGACTGCAACCCACTTGATTATTATGCGTGGGGCGCCGTTGAACGAAAGGCCAACAAAACACCTTGTAACACCAACGATGAACTGAAGGCAATGATTATGGCAGCATTCACCAACTTAAAGAAGGAAATATTCCAGAAGAATTGAAGAAGATTCCTTAATCGTCTGGAGGCCTTGGTTGAAGCCAATGGTGATTTTATTGAATACATTTTGCTCTTTAGTATTCCAAGATTTTTTTGTTTAATTTTGGTAAATATATATGTTAAAATGAGATGTCAGTGTTATTTTCTTTTTTTGCGTAAATTATGCGGCAATTTATCCATCGTACCCTGTACGTGGAAAGAAAGCCATTGATATTTATTACATTAAGTAGAGCATGAGAAGATTGTGATTATCTCCAAAGTAGGGCAGGTCTGTACGCCTTAAAAACCAAATGTTGAAATCCTATCTATGAATTGTGTTCAAATTCCAATCACTTGTGCAGCGACCGAAGCTCATTAACCACAGCTCACTCACTACATATTGTCAACGATGCAGCTTTAAGCAAATATCCATTGTCAATGAGGACACATAAATATTTAAGGATTGCACGAATGACGCACCAATTTAAAAAAAGAAGTAAAAACTGTATGACGGTAACTTAATTTTATTCGCAACGACAACCGGGAATACCTCATAATCTTTAGGAACATCCTAACTAGTCCTCATATGCACAATTCATTGTCTGTGGAGGGACAAAACAGCAAAGAGCTCATCCGAACAATTACCATGAAAATAATTAGAGAAAAGACAGAGATGCAACGTTCAAGCGGTGAAATGGTGATTGAAGCCGAGCCACCAGAGCAGGACCAATAATATTGCTGATTTTTCTTATCAAGATCTTATCAAGGAGCTCAAGGTATTCTATTTGATCCGAGTATATTAACAAGGGTCGAAAATGCAATATTTCTATTACATCACTAAGGTTGGGGCAAAAATAATGTTGTTTTTTGACGTTCAACTTCAAAAGATCATAACTCCTTTCATAATAAACTTTATTAATCGAAATAAGAACCATTAGAATCGACACATTTTTGCCAAGTTTATTTATCCCATTAGCATAGAAATCCGGAGTTCTGGAAGCGATGAAGTCATTGAAGGCCGATTCGGCATCATCTCGGCT